TGCTTGGTGCCATAAACCCATTTCTACTATGACTGCCCTACCCCTGATACCAAATTATCAAGGCGGCGCGAATACTATCTTTACTTATCCCCAGTCGAGAACACCTCGGGCGCCCGACGACGATAAGCCGCCAGTAATACACAAGGATAAGATTAACCCTTCATCTTCTTCAGGAGTATCACTCCAATAGCGACGACCAAGATCCAAATGTTGTTACCCACGAACTTCAACAGTTCGCCGCCGGCCCTAAGTGCCAAGGAAACGACCGAACCCAGCAGCCCAGGAAGACCGGCTGCCATCTTTTTTCCCAAGTCCGTCAAACCAGAACCTAGTTTTTTCACGCCCGCGCCTGTAGCCTTAAGCGCGGATAGGATAACTCCTACTACGCTCGAAATAGCGACCGCAAATGCCAGCGGAACGCCATACTTTACCAGATCCCTTTTTATCTTTTCCTTGGTGGTAAGCCCCAACTCCCTTTCCGAGCCTTCTTGTTGCGCCCGTAATTCTGCAAGGCGTACCTCGAGGGCCTCTACTTCCCTTTGGGCTGCCTCCCTTTCTTCTTCGGGGCGCGCCTGGTCATTGATTATTTCCTGTTGCCGCTCTATTTGCCCCTCCAGGTCTTCGATGGCCTGCTTAAGTTGCCGGATTTGCTCTTCCTTAGTATTGATTTCGGCAACCAACTGTCGCCGCTCCTCCAAAGAACCAGCTATGGTGGTTCGTAAGTTCTTAGCTTCCTCCTTGCTTACGTCTAGGTCTTGCAGGGCAAGCTGGAAGGCCCTTTGGGCGCTGTCTTTTTCACGAAAGGCAATGTCTCTTTGCTCTCTAAGTTCTAATATGCGTTGATCCTTGTCGTTAAGTTCTCTTTTTTGAGCATCGAGAAGTAGTCGGTTTTGCTTCATATAATCTGCTTCCCTTTCTTCCAACGTTTCTTGTAGTCCCTCGATGCGTCTTTCTAGCGCGACCTTTTCATTCAGGGTTTCCAGCCGGTCTAACAGGCTTCTAGTGGCACGCTGGAGGCCTTTTAATCTTGAGACGTCACCCCTAACGTCACCATTCTCATCAAAGAGGGGTTGTGGTTTCGTCCAGCGGTCTTTGTCAGGAAATCTCAGGTCTTGAACGCTTATGAGGACTTTGTTTCCGCGTTCTGTGAGCCTTACGTCGTCAACGTCAAAGCGGGAATAACGCTGTGTTAGCTCCTGCATTGCCCACTCTATGGTTTCCCGTGCGGCTGCTTCCGGCTCGCCCATGTTTTGAAGCTCTATGTACTCAGGGGGAGACTTGCCGGGGTTCTTTTCCCCCCACTTACGAGCAAAGGCTTTCATAAAGCTTCTCCATTCTTTACCAAACATGGTTACGAATTTAATGTCGAGCATTGAAGAATTAGTATCTGC